GTCAGCCAGGATGCGATCAAAGAGTAGTTGTGTCATCTATTTTTGGATGGTTAATAAATTTAAAGACTGTCCATCTTTTAACTCACCAATATAGGAATCCCAAAGTAATCGTTGAAATAAATGCCCCAAAACGGGTTAAAAAAGATCAATAGCGTAAAGGGCTGTATCAACGTTAAACGAGACCCATGCTGCCATCGCCTAGCACCGCCCAATTTAAGTCATATGGATGACACGGCGAGCACGTTTGTGTGGAAGCTAGTGAATGAGTGGAAAGTAATTGAACTAACATCTGTAGTTTCGATCTACGCGTAAATATCAACTGTCGAACATGAAAATAAAGAAAGCTCTTACTCGCAGCTGCAAGGACCGAATAAAAGAATCCCTCGCCGTGGCTGCCGACAGCCCCCAATGACTGAAATGTCAGGAGACTGTTCAAAAGAAAGGTTCGTTGGTAGCTTATTAGTTGGATCTCAGTGCGACAACTGTTACAATGTGTAAGTCGTTTCCGCCTACAAACATCAGATTGTCTTTAACACCTATTTCTACAACCGCCACACACATGTGTGAGGCTGTCACAGAATAACTAAATACTCGCGTTTTGAGCTGGGACCATGATAGTAGATAGATGTACTTGGCAGAGGCTAGCAACGCCAGCCGGATAAACCATATTCTGACCCAAACACACACACACGCTCGAAGAATCAAGTCTTAGTGGCGCCCAGTTTTTTATGCAAGGCGTCGTAAAATCATGACAACCGAGTGGTCGCGCTGCGTTTGATTGGATAAAATAACACCATTAAAGCTCTTAGGAATCAGGAGTCGAAATCGACACCAATTCAGAATTTACCTGGCGACTGCGTTATGTCTGGATTTTAGCGATAATACCACAGCTGTCTACCAAAGCTGTTTTATGTATATACCACTAAGGCAATTCTTATAGCAAGCCGTTGAAAATTAAATTGCCGTTAGAGTGACAGCGAAAACTAGTAGACTGAAATGAAAAGTCTCATTTGCCAGGCCTCCAATTAACAGCATCACATTGAACCTTTACAAATATCCTTTCCAAGCTAGGAGTAGGCCACATACACTGAGGGCCTATGTTCAGGGTGCGAATGAAAAGCTTAGTGCTGCGAAGTGGCTACGGTCGAACATGTTTATGCTATACCATAGGTCGAGAACCTTTTTCACTCAGAGAGCAAAGAAAGCAAATATTTGGAAATATATTTCAAGGAGAGCCATATAATATATGCTAAGATTGAATTCAGTTAAATGTGAGTATAATAAGCCCCGGTGGCACATCATAGGAGGAACCAAAATCACA